TGATGGAGGGGTCATGTCCTTTGGAAGAAGAGCGGTGCTTTCTGTATCCGCGAAACAGAAGCTCAACTCAAGAAGCAGCACTGAAGCGGATTGATTGGAGCTGACGATGTTATGTCGCCCAGTTGTGGGCAAAGTTGTTCTTGAAGAGCAGGGGATCGTTGTCAAGGACAACATCCTCATGCAGGACAACAAAAGCACGATCATTCTTGCAGAGAATGGCAAGGCAGTTCGGGCAAAAGAAATCGGGCCATCAACATTCGTTTCTTTTTTATTCATGACCAAATTGGAAAAGGCAACCTTAGAGTTGTGTACTGCCAACCTTGGAAATGCGTGGAGATTTTTTACGAAGCCCCTTCAGGGCAAGCTCTTCCACGAGCACAGGGCTTTCATCATGGGGCATCCACCCCTTGTTTGATTGCCTAATTTATTTTATTGTTCCACGGTAGCCACTTAGGGCACCGTGCAGAGTGTGTTGGAGGAAACATACCTGACACCTCCTTTTACTCATTGACTCGTGTATTAATTATCTAGTCCGGTTCGCATGTAAATTGATCATGCAAGGAACCAAGGGAGTTTTAGGTCTAAAGTGTTGCGGGGGTCCTTATATCCAATTCAATCACAAGAATTGCTATGCACCACCAGAAAATCCTCACTTTTGCTTTTCAGCTTAATCCAAAACCAAATTACTCCCCAATAAGCTGCAGTATTACTAGCTAACACTCTACAAACCTAGCGTCCAAGTCGTCCAGTAAGCCACTTTCAATCATGGAGAAAGTCAACTTTCCGATTTCTTTTCACATTTCTGATTCCAGTAGTCTAGCAGTCTCCCCTCCGCGAGTTCAGCACACCTCATGATAACCAATCAGTATATGCCTGCCCGATCTTAGGAGGCGCCGACGGGAACGAACACAAGAAGCAAAGCATGTGCCTCACACATCTCTTCTGTCGACGGAAACACGTGGAAACCTTTCCCCTCTCCTGCTGGCTAAGGCATTTCCACTGCTTCGTCTTCAACTGGTTGTAGTAGAGAACGTGGTACGAGTCCTTGAAAAAGCTGATAAACAACCTCGCTGGGGTCTTCGGTTGGCCCACCAAAACAATATCCGAATAAGCCAGCCTCTCGCATTCATCATCTTCGTGTTTATTGTTGGTGTCAGATTCCATGAATTGCACAAGCATCCGTTCCAACTTGTCATGTCGATCGATCACACGTCTCAAGTCCTCTCCAATTGAAACAACATGATTCGACATCGGGATGTAAGCCCGGGTCAAAGCATTCATCTGAGTCAAGAAGGATCTAGCATCGACTTGAATTTCATTCAAGCCATCATACCCATTCCTTGCGAGCATGTTAATGGGGAGAGCGATGCAATTCCTCTGAAGGAATCCCTTCCGAACATCGGCACACCAATCATGGAACCGTCTGACAGGAACATCAGCAGCCTCCAAAGCATGAAGCAGCACGCACACAAAAGGATGCGACTTCAAGTTCTGGTACTTGGATGACGGGTGTTGACCCAGAAGCTCAATCAGGTCGGGGTAGAATATTAACACAGAAGCAAACAACACCTCGCGGATAGCCGGAGACCAATGACCATCCCAGTCATCCTTGAACAAACAGCTGCAAACAATCCTCGCCTGCCACAAATTCTCCTCACCTCGAATGTCGTGAATGTTAGGAGGCTCCCCTCCAACAATCCCCATATCGACAGAGCTGCTCCAGTTAGACAACACCTTGCTAGTCTGGCTGCTTCGACATACTCTCGGATCCGACAACATACTCAAACAAGGTGTGAACCGAACGAACATCCCATCCACTGTGGAAAACCTGCGGAAGACCAGCGGTCAAGGGATTCTCCGCGAGCTTCTGGTTGGACCCATTCTTTCCGTGATGAGACATCAAATTCAAGTTCACCTGATCAGCTATCTCACCAAATTGCTTGAAGAGCGACTTGAAACATGTAGACCACAGCTGACTAACGTTGCTCTTTGTAGCGCCTTGTAAATGCCTCTGCGCTCTTTCAGCGAAGTTGCTGAACAGACAAGTTTCAACACACCTGTTCACCAGCAGATTGTATGCGAAAGCAAAATACACATCCTGTTGCATATGGTCCCAATGAGGGCGGAACAATGGAAGAATCTGTGACCCTCCTTGTTTGTCCCTATCGACTTTCACAGGCAAGACATGGAAAGTCCTGCCATTCTCGTCCATCTGCTTCAGTGTGAGGTGTTTCACCTCTAAAAGAGAGATCTCTCGGCATCTTCCTGCTGCGTAATACTTCGTAACATCAAATGCCAAGAACTGCGCCGACCTTTGATCTCCAACCCAAATGCAGGCGGTTCCAATTGCGACACGATCATCGTCCGAACTACCCTCGTGTCCATTCACAAGAGCCTTTCCATTCTTCCTGCAATTTTCCTTGTACATGGACAACAACTGCTTCCTCAAGACCCTCCATTGCTCATCCCTGAATACCGAAATTCGATCTTCCAATCGGAATTGGTTGACAACAAATTGCTTCACAGCCGATGCGTATTGGGTAGCGGTCTGATACGAAAGACCATCATTGGAATCGTCGAAATTCCGCTTAGCCGTTGAACCAAGATAATGCAAGAAGCTTGCAATCATCTTATCCCAGAAAGGGTTTCCGCTCTTGTCGATTCCACCAAACTCAATGTCCTCCAACCGATGATACCTGATTCCTTCCTTTTTGCAGTAACTTTTAAGGAAATGATTACAGTAATTAAGAGCGCTAAGAGTCTTGTTGCTCTTTTCCAGTGCTGAAAAATCTCGAATATCCTTTATAGCATTCTCCTCCTCCCTGATATCATCCTCAACCAAAACCTCATCCAAGTCCATTTCCTTTGCTTTGTCTTCTCTCATCTCGAACTCATTATCAGATTGGCACCACGGCTCGCGTCACTGCCACCGATGAATGTAGTGGCCGCCCGGCTCGTCATTGCTGTCGACGGACTCAGCGACGGGAAAACAAGTCAGCGGGAGCTGCGGTACCTTGGCAGAAAGACAGATAGAAGAAGGAGGATCATGTTTGAGATTGCACCCTTCTTTCAAGCTAGCCCTGGCGACAACACCCGACTTCGTCGTATGTTTCCGCCCACTATCATTCTCTCATTGTAACCTTCTGTCTTATTAAGCTAGCCTTGGCGACAACACCGACTTCGTCGTGTGTTGCCGTCGGCAAACCCATATTTTTACATCTGTCATTCCATTTGTAACTCTAGTCTTTACAGCTCTTACTGGCTTAACATGCTTTTGTGCTGATTGCACTAATCTTAAATAGTATTGATTTATTCCTACCCCTAAATTCATTTGAAACTTCACTTGCCAGTTTGGTTGGCTTATGCCTATCCCTATCCCTATATTTTGGCTTCACCGGAATAGAAAACAGGAAATAGGAAATACCAAAAAAGGGGGTGAGGGCTCAGGCAGATAAACTGCCAAGGTTACATCATATACCTCGGCAGGTAAACTGCCTGAGTTCTCAACCCCTTTAATTACGTCTCCTGAGACGACGCTCCTTTAGGTTACCCCCTCAGTTGCACTCTGAAATCGATTCGCTCGCGTTTACTATGTAAATTAGTGTACCCGCACTTCAGTTGCAGAATCAGCGGTCATGTGTATCGTTAAACGTTAAATAACAGGTTCTCTTTCGAATGATATAGATCGATTCGTGGATAAAAGAACCGTTGAAGTTACTAAGGTTAAGGTCCATCGATTTGAAGTACGCTGTATCTATTCAAACCCGTTATTGAAGGTACAGCGCTGACTTCTCTCCCTCATTCAATTCCTATGGTAAACAGGAGAGAAATCCAAGCTTGGCCGACAACAGGTGAGTTGTTTCAATTACGATCGCTCGCACCTCTATTATCTCTACCAGTACTATCAAGCCTCACTCAAGCCGGCTGTCTCTGGTGCAGAAGCGAAAGCCATCCCTCATTGAACTATGGCTGGGATGGCAGTCAGTTCTCGGCCCATGACGGCCAAGTTGGTGCAATTTGAAAAACAAGGGTAAGTCGCCGGTTTTCTTCAGTTGAGCACAGAAAACAAAACTCATATCTATTCGTTGTTTTCTCTGCTGCACTGCTGACGGCCGAGGAAATCCCATTATCGAACGAACGATCGGTCGCTCCGGAGAACAAGAAGAGGAGAGGCTACCACTACGGAGGAGACTGTTAACTCCAGCCCTACCAACAGTCTGAACGGATCGTTGTCGAGTCATTGAATGGCAACAAGAGGAGGCTGCACGACAACACACAAGAGAGTGGAAACTCCTATTGGATTCACCCCTCCTTCAGTGTTATTTCCTAGTTTTTGGTTGGTGATTCATGTGTCGGTACCCACTTTCCTGTATGCACAAGTCCTCGGGCGAACGAATTGCTTCTTTCGTACGATAAAGATAGGTAGATAACTCGTTTGATAATAGATCATCGATTACCGACCAATAGACCACTCCTTTCATTAGATAGACACCTTATAGATCAATAGGATTGACAATATTCGGTTGTGTATATATTCGTCATAAGGATCCAATGCGAGGTACCTGTACCCGAGTGTAGCGAGCAAAGCCGAACCTGAGTGTGTTCGGTACTGTTGCCGCTGTCGCTGATGTAACTATACGGTGTGTAGCCGACTACATTTGCTGGATTGACATTCATCATAAGGATCCAATACGAGGTACTTGTACCAGAGTGTAGCGAGCAAAGCCGAACCTGAGTATGTTCGGTACTGTTGCCACTGTCGCCGATGTAACTATACAGCAGCCGGCTACAATGGCTGGATTGACATTATTTGGTTGTGCGTGTATTCGTCATAAGGATCCAATACGAGGTACTTGTACTGGAGTGTAGCGAGCAAAGCCGAGCCT